TTCGGCTTTTTTTATGCTCTAGATAAAATTGACTCATTATCTGAACCAGTTTTAAATTAATTATATTATAGTTACGATGCCTAAAAAATGATAATTATCTATAAATTCATTTTATAAACTATTTATCGTCTTTTGGACTACGTACAGTGTGCATTTTATCACGAAATATAAAACTAAAAGTATGCCTTTGACGATTCAAGTTTATGACCTTGTTGAGTTATTTCAAGCTTTCAAAATTGCTAAAGCGTGAATAACGTATTTATGGGTGATTTTCTGTGGAAGTAGCAAAAGCATCGTTCATACAGACAGGCAGACAGAGCCGTTTCGTTATTATAACGTGTTCTGTATCAGAATTATGTCCAGCATGCAGTTGTGACTAAATTTTTGTTAATTTTATTTAAGAAACGTATCGCACTGCCTTGTAGTTATACACAAAGCATGGCTTCGTCAGATACTTAACAAAAAAAAAAAGTGTAACAACTACGTCATCGCGGTTGTCATGTCGTGGATAGAATGTTGGCGAAACAAGCCACTCTCCTACACACATTGTCAATGGGGAAGAAAAGAAACCCACTTAAAAACTGTTGCATACCCCACATTCTTGGCCAAATCACCTTGAGGCTCACCTCGAACGTCCCTAGCGTGAGACAATTCACTATGTTTTGACTGGCGGGATGGTTGGTGGGAATGGCGGGAACACTAACTTCCTGTGGTAGAGAGCGTCTTCACAACGAACGTTCTTAACGTGTACACTGATGACCAAAGTACAGTTCATACGCTAGATTGCTGTTGTTGTTGTTGCGGTATGCCACTTTTATCGAATAGAAGAAACTCACTGTTAAATGCAAAATACGCAAAGTTAATACTCGCTATTAAGCACACTCAAAATAATTTTAAGTGGTTCTACTAATTCTTCTTATATTTTTCATATATATTTGTGATTCTATTTTTTAAACATTATCCATATCTAAACTCAGTGGAACTTTATCCGATTTTTAAACATTATCTATATCTAAACTCAGTAGAACTTTATCTGATTTTTAAACATTATCCATATCTTAACTCAGTGGAACTTTATCTGATTTTTAAACATTATCCATATCTAAACTCAGTGGAACTTTATCTGAAAGTTCCACTGAGTTTAGATATGGATAATGTTTAAAAATCAGATAAAGTTATACTGAGTTTAAATAAAGATAATGTTTAAAAATCAGATAAAATTCCACTGAGTTTAAATATGGGTAATGTTTAAAAATCAGATAAAGTTATACTGCGTTTAGATATGGATAATGTTTAAAAATCAGATAAAGTTATACTGAGTTTAGATAAAGATAATGTTTAAAAATCAGATAAAGTTCCACTGAGTTTAGATATGAATAATGTTTAAAAAGATATAAGAAAACACTAAAATACAAAAATGGTTACTCTACATTGAAATAGCCCTTAATTTCTACATTCTTAGTAGTCTTTAGTATTTATATTACTTCCCGTATTTATATATATCTTTCTACTGAATATCTTGTGTTGTTTATTTGCTTTGGATATTCGCGCAAGAGCCATCTGTGCATAGCAGTCAGTCCCTGTACATAGCGGATAGACTAGAGAAAAGATAGTTAATACTCTAACCGTCTCTCGCATGATCGCATCCCCAAAGTGCGGGGCTCGATTTTGCCGCAGAGGGACAAAAAACAGACTCTCGTATTCACAGTTCAGCACGTTAATTACTAGGCCATACCCGGCCTCATCTGGTAACATAAGTTTGTGTAACGTTTTATGTTGTTAATGTTTCTTTTACAACCTGCGTATTTAAGAATGTATCTTTTCTATATACAACGTTCAACTAAAACCAAGACAGAACGCAGAATCAGTCATAATAGTCTGGTTGTATATCATATTTAGTGTCTATTTTTCTTTTGTAATTCTAAGTCCATTATTCGGTTTACGGTATTCAGTAATTATACGAACTTTCTATCACAGGAATACTTTTTTAAATACGGTTATATAATGATAATTGCGAATTTCTTCCAAATCATCTTCAGTAATAAGTTTTTACTTGAATCAGATAAAGTTCCACTGAGTTTAGATGTGGATAATGTTTAAAAATCAGACAAAGTTCCACTGAGTTTAGATACGGATAGTGTTTAAAAATCAGATAAAGTTCCATTGAGTTTAGATATGGATAATGTTTAAAAATCAGATGAAGTTTACAACTAGTTTTGATCATTTAAAGTCTAAGGAGTTTTATATCACTTTAATGAGTGTACATATTACTTAACAAATCTGCACTAAAATTTTGTTAAAATCTATTATAGTCCTTTTTTATTTTTTATCGAATTTATTTCAGAAAATTCTATCAAAGGGCTCTAACATAGATTTCAAGTCTACATACCTCCATAGTCTACGTAGGAAGATATTTAATACCATATGTTAAAAATAAACAAACGAAAACAATCAGTGGCTCTGCAGCAAGCTTGAGTGCTTATAACGCTTAATTTCTGGACCCGCTCGTTGCAGTTGGCCCAACGCAGATAGCCCATTGTGTAGCTTCGTACTTAAAACAAACAGATGTATAAGTAGGAAATTTTCACGCGTACTTAGAAGAAGAATCGTTCGGTGTTTAAGTTAATTAATTAATGTTGAAAGAGTTTTCCACCAGGTTCTTTCCTTTGTGGGAAAACGTTAAAGCTAGCTAATTTGAATTTTTAACCTGAAGGGTATTTTGTTTGACACGTGGGCTGAATGGATGGATCAGAAACTCTTACGATTCAGGCATAATCATTTTTAATTTAGAACTGCTGATTAGAGGAAAGGCAACCAGTCAACAACGCTCACTGTCTATTACTTGACTACTCTTAATAAATAGCAGGATTGACTGTTAGCGTTGTAACACCCACAGCTGAAAGTGCAAAGGTTGTTCAGCCATATATCGTGGCTCGAATCTTGGATCTTTTGATTTACATGATGGCATGATAACCACTACAGCATACACTTAATAAATTAACTAATGAATAAAAGGATCTGTTGCAAAATTTTTTTAGATGTCTTATTTGTTTTGGTTGGAATCTACAGCATCAGAAAAGAATAATAAGGATTCTATTGTACTTTTAACACGTTTATCTCATTCAGTGTATTTTTTGAACTTTTATGTAGATTCTTTATACAAGCTGAAGCCAAAACTACGTATATTGCACACAGAAAATTGTGGCTGGACTTTACTTTTTTGTATAATTAGCTTATTAATATTTTTGATTCGTTATGTCTAATTTCTGTATTTTTCTTTTTTCTCGAAAGTTTCATACTTGTACAGAGCTTGTACACTATAAATTATACTGACATTAAAGATAAGCTTTCTTTCAGTATTTTAACTAAATCTGTGAATCATTTTGCCTTTTCTCTTCTTAAAAAGTATTCTACAACTAATTTAATGAGTTATTGGGATATTTTTTTCATGCCATCGAGTAATGATTAAACAGTGTATAAACAATACATTAAACAATAGTTTAAACAATTATTGATATTTGAATTTATTTTGACTTACTTTTGACGGTAGTGTAGTTAGCGGGACAAATACTCGATTGATTTAAGGTGAAGATCAAGTATTGCATATATTATTTTCATCGATTTGAGAATATCGAAATGGTTTGTTTCCCCCATTTATCAACGTAATTAAAAGAACAATGTGTGTCAGTCAGTCCGTGCGTATATGCGTGCTAGCTCACATGGAAACCCAATATTCCTATTGGCTAACTGTACAATGGTATATTTATCCGAGTGCAAAAGTTGATGACGCTTAACGTGCTTTGTTTTATATGCGTGCAAAACTACGATGTTGATGACGTTAATTTTTAAAGACAATTACTTCTGTAACAAAACAAACATGCAAGAAAATACATTAAGTTAATTCTTTACCTTTCTGTGGCTTATAAGTAACGCAATACCATTACTTCTCAACTTAAATTCCAACCAACGTCTAAAGATCGACAATTAGGCCTAAAGTTTAAATACGCTTCGTACGCAAAGCACGAATTTACCCTCTATATAATCTACACCAATTAGCCTTAATAGCCACTGACACAATTTCATTCATATTCAATGCTCTATAGTTAATATATTAAGCGGAAAAAATAATTACAGGACTTACACGATAAAGAAATGTGATTTAATACACATATACACACAAGAAATCTAAAAAAAAAACAGAAAAAAAAACAATGACGACAGTTGATTTTTACGCTTCTTGATTCCATAATTTTAAAACTTTTCTATTTTAACATCGCTTTATCAAGAGTTCAATCAAGAAAAAATCCTACGATCCTAGTCAGAGATGGCGATTATTCACAAAGACAAGGTGTTTGTACAAAAACTGTGGTGTACAGAGATATATTTCATTTCTTGTTTTTACGCTTTAGTTTAAATCTAAATAAAACAACTCCATATTCTGCTTAGTAGGTTTTTGTTTCATTCATGTCCAATTACATAATACAACAACAGCATTATTTAAATGATTTATCTATTTCAAACACACACCCTCCTCATATATATTATTCCACTTAATAATTTTGCATATGTGGGGGAAAACAATCTTTGGGCTTTGGCTCATATGGCACAGCACACTATTTTACGCAGGAAGTTGAGTATTCAATCCTGTCTATATCATTTTATTTTATTCGACTCAAACAATGTTTCAGTAATTTAAATAAATTTAGTACATACATTGCACTCGAAATAAGAGTTTATCCCTTAGTTTGGGATAAAAAAATATAGGAACTCCTAGCAATATATATATCACATTCTAAATCATTACCAATTCCCTTTTAAAATTATATTCCATAAATATTATATGAGATGGTATAATTTTATATTCGTTTGGAATTCAAAAACAGTGCATCACTATAAGTAGTCTAACTAGACTTTTTGTGTTATCTATGAAGGAATTAACGTCAGAATCCTTACAAGTTTCAATCATACACAATACATTGAAGATAATATTCTTTTTTTAGGTTTTTCGGGTAAAAGAGCCTACCGTTGACAGCTAATTGTTAGTGGTCGTTACTGTACTTTAACTTATTTTCGCCATGATGACGACTGTAGACGAGGCAGAGGAAGACGACAACAATCTCTGGTACAATGGTATGTAGTGTTTCGTATATTTGCTATTTTTAACCATTAACCAAGTTTATAACATGATTACAAATAATCAATAAATTGTGTTAATCAACATAGTATAACATCACGTTTATAATTCTTAAATATGTTTTTAGAGCAAAGCTATACAATGGGTTTTCTGAGTTAAGTCCGCGCACAGGGTCGAACCCCGAATTTTACAATTTTTAGATTTCCTTAATTATGTTCTTCGATCATGTTTTCACACACACGCACACACAGATATTATATACAGAGTGTCCCAGAAGTATGGTTTCTTTGTTTGTTTGTAGTTAAGCACAAAGCTACACAACGGGCTATCTGTGTTCCGTCCACCACAGGTATGGAAACCCGGTTTCTAGCGTTGTAAATCCGCAGACATACCGCAGTACCACTGGGGGAGGGGGCAGAAGTTTGGATGCATGAGGAAAATATACTTTATATTCTTTAAGTTAAACACATTTCTAATGTCAGTTGTACATATTTCAGGAAAGGAAATACCCTGATGACACAGTATACCAAGAATTGATATGTGTATGAATGTTAATGGCTCGCAATTTGAATAATACATAAATTAGGAATAAATTGTGTATTTTTCCCTGGGACACCCTGTACACACACACACACACATATATATATATATATATATATTGTGACGGATATACTACCCTATATCTATTTTAATATCGATGTTTGTTTAAGTTAAATTCATATGTAGAAATGTACATAACTTATACTGTTTAATCTGTATTACGAAATTCCTGCCTATTCACTAAAATTGTAGAAAATGTTCGAGTGTAAGAATCAACAATATATGTGTGTACATAAACACTGGTGTATCGTTTATATTGTTGCGTAAGGGGAAATTTCGGAAAAACTCTCCTCACGCCTATAAATATAGCCAACGCGATGCGCCAAAAAAAACAGTTTTTATTATTGGTTTGTTATAGTTGGTGTGCTATAAACTTTGGAAGCTATAACCGTGATCGTTATAACGTTTATTATTCGGGAAATTCAGATATTTAACCAGGAACGTTTATAGATTTCGAATATTACAAACCATTTAACTTCGGCCCGGCATGACCAGTGTTTACAGCGCTCGACTCGCAATCTGTGGGTCACGGGTTCGAATCCCCGTCAAACGAAACATGCTCGCCCTCTTAGCCGTTGGGGCGTTATAATGTGACGGTCAATCTCACAATTAGTTGGTAAATAAGTAGCCCAAGAGTTGGCGGTAAGTGATGATGACTAGCTGCCTTCCCTCTAGTCTTACACTGCTAACTTAGGGACGGCTAGCGCAGATAGCCCTCATGTAGCTTTGCGCGAAATTCATAACAAACAAACAAACCATTTAACTTCAGCGGATTCACGTCGGACATTAGTACTTTTACGAAAACATTATATAACTTCAGTGGTGGATAACACGGCGTGTGGCCGGCGAAGAACACAGAGCTAGCTAGCTCCCTGTTAAGTGAATTGTATCTACATCAACTCAAAATTGATTCACTCATAAGGCATCAAGGAAGTTCCAGACCAGATATAGGACTCAATATTGTTTGTAAGTTTGTAAAACTTTTGTACATAGATCATTATTTGTAATAACCGTTATTGTAAATTGTGTTATTGTTTGTATGTTAAAATATATTTGTATTAAAAAAACTGTATGTATCAATCTTGTTGGCAAGTATCATAAACTGGATACATATCGACATTTATTTAATTTGTAAATCTAAATTATCATTTAACTCAGTTTCAGGGTATTCGGAATTATAATACGTTACATGATATATGGACAAAACAGGAAAACATTCATGCAATAGAAAAGTACTTCAGCAAAAATGTTAGAATCTACTCAACATCTCGCGAATCTACTCAACATCTCGCGAATCTACTCATCATCTCACGAATCTATTCAACATCTCACGAATCTATGCAACATCTCGTGAATTTACTCAACATCTTGCGAATCTATTCAACATCTCGCGAATCTACTCAACATCTCGTGAATCTACTCAACATCTCGCGAATCTACTCATCATCTCACGAATCTATTCAACATCTCACGAATCTATGCAACATCTCGTGAATTTACTCAACATCTTGCGAATCTATTCAACATCTCGCGAATCTACTCAACATCTCGTGAATCTACACATCATCTCACGAATATATTCGACATCTCACGAATCTTCGCAACATCTCGTGAATCTACTCAGCATCTTGCGAATCTACTCAACATCTCGCGAATCTGCTCAACATCTTGCGAATCTATTCAACATCTCGCGAATCTACTCAACATCTCGCGAATCTACTCAACATTTCATGAATCCACTCAACATCTTGCGCATATACTCAACATCTCGCGAAGGTGTGCTCATCAGAAGTTGACATTTCGCCATTTCTACCCAAGAGAGAGTTATTTCGATTTTGAACTATTTGGACTTTTTCCTTTCACCCTACTCAAAATTTAAAGACAACATGATTGGCTAATAACCCCACTCAAGATTTAAAGACAACATGATTGGCTAATAACCCCACTCAAGATTTAAAGATAACATGATTGGCTAATAACCCCACTCAAGATTTAAAGATAACATGATTGGCTAATAATCCTACTCAAGATTTAAAGATAACATGATTGGCTAATATCCCTACTCAAGATTTAAATATAACATTGTTGGCTAATAGTAATAATAATAATTATATATATGTAAATATATAAGGAATGGTTATTACATAAAGGTACCACGATATACTAGCTCAAAAAAAAATAAATTAGGGATAGCTAGCAAAAAGCACTTCAAAACCACAAGACGACACCTATAGGCAGGACACAGATCTTTCATTCATTTGTGGGAGATAAACACAAATTTGGGTGGAGATCGAAAGATCCAAATATCTTTAATTTTGTTGTGGGAGTAAAACAGGAGTACCCGAGAAAAACCCTCTTTCACTACCCGGATAGTGCATTAGCTATTGGACTAAAACGTATATAGGTCAGTGTACATAAACATTTTATAAAGTTTTGATTAAACTCAAGGAAGACGAGTGGGTGCGTCATATTTCTGGGGTGCTGGATAGGTTTGAAAATTCTTTTATTAGTGGATTACGATTGACTGCTTTATTATAAAAATATTTAGCTAATTTGATTATTTCTTTTTAATGGTTTATTTGTAATAATGCACAAAGCTACACAATGGGCTATCTGTACTCTGCCCACCACGGGTATCGTGTGGGTGCGTCATATTTCTGGGGTGCTGGATAGATCTGAAAATTCTTTTATTAGTGGATTACGATTGAATGCTTTATTATAAAAATATTTAGCTAATTTGATTATTCTCTTTTTAATGGTTTGTTTGTAGTAATGCACAAAGCTACACAATGGGCTATCTGTACTCTGCCCACCACGGGTATCGAAACCCGGTTTCTAGCGTTGTAAGCCTTTTTAATGGACGGTATCGTATTAACTGTGTTATGATACGTTAATGATGAATATATTGGTAACGTGTAAGCTATTCTTAAAGCTAAATTATGTCTGTAATTTCTTAAATAATTTGTCTGATATGTTACAGAGGGATCATACTGTCATATTCAGCTAGTGTTCTAATGTAAGATCTATACATATGTAGAATAATTTCTACCAAAGCACACAAGAGTGCACATTTATACAAGAAATAAAACCGTATCACACATCCGTGCGCGCGCTGACGCAACATTGTGACGTAGGGATACGTATAGCCTACATATCTCAAGTAATGGGCAACATAGAAAAAACACAGAGAGAAGAAAAACGGACAAGGAAAGAACTTGGTGGTACATCATTGTGGATAACATATTTCATACATCTTTTAAAATCTATGGCGTTAATAAAATGGTTCATCACGCTCGTAACTGGAATAATTGCGTAAAAAGAATGCTGAAAATAAACTGTTATAATTGGCGATTGCCTCATTGCGTCTCAAGTTACATTTAACCAGAATAAATGCAGTAGGCAAATAGTTTAGTACTGACAGAGCGTACTAATACGAGAGGAGGGGATTGTCGTTTCGAAAGCACACTTCAAAAACCGGTAGGCTTAATCAGTCCTTTATGTCCTTAAAAGAAAATATGCTGAGTACCAAACAGCCGCCGAAGGACACACAAAACTAGTGGGACAAGGCACGTGCACAACGTGTTACTGTACATCCTGAGTGAGTAATCCAAACTTGAACATTTTAATGCCGAATTGACGTATAAAGTGAAAAAACTAGAATATCAGAAGGATCTTAATTGCAAGTAGGGGGCGTCAACAACGAAGTTAATGTTAGTTAGCAACCTTTGGTATCTATTTACCCTCTATTACAACCAAATAACACCGTTGCAACATGATTAAAAAAAAGTGTAATTTCATTCGTATTTTACAATGAACAGATGGTACTATAATTACAAAATTCGTTAGTAATGGTAAGTTTTATAAGAGAGGGGACAGAGACTTTAAGTACAAAGTTCGTAAGTAATAGTAAAGCTTTTAAGGGGTTATAGAAGTACAAAATTTAAGTAACAGTAAGTTTTATCAGTGGGTTATATAAGTACAAAATTCGTAAGTAATAGTAAAGTTTATAAGGGGATATAGAAGTACAACATTTAAGTAACAGTAAGTTTTAGCAGGGGGTTATATAAGTACAAAATTCGTAAATAATGGTAAAGTGTATTTTGACTTTTTGATAAAAACACTGATAAATACATACAGATGTTACATTATTTATATGCTAAATCCTAATAAGCCAACAGCGGATTGTATGGAAATGAAAATATTTCAATAATGAGATTCTGTTTTTCTTAGTGAGGTGCTTATTCAGGACTTGCTTTTTAACAATTCATATCCTTGATGGTTTACAAGTTTATTAACTGTGTTCTGGCAGTCTATTTACATTAACGTGCTTAAAACTCAAGGATTCAAGAATTCCATAAAGTATGTTTCAGCATAGTAATGCACAAATGAGTAAAGA